CTCACTGTGCAAAAACTTTTACATACAGATTAACTCTTACAATGCTCATTACCAAGTCTATGCATTCTGTCGTTTAACCCTCGCCCATTTCTTATATTGTTTCATCTTCTGAGCAAACAATGCCTGTATTAGCAATTTTCATTTTGCAAAACTCGTCGCCTAATGCAACCAATCCCTTTAAGGTAATTACATTTTGTTTTAATTTATACCCAGATTGCAGTAGTCATGTGGATGTGAATAATTACTACACAAACTGTATGTTTGACCTGTGCAGTGGGAATGCTGATATGCAGCAAGTGTTCTGTGATGTAGCAGCCATGTATGCGATGGAGTGCTCGAACAGAGGTCTTGTGGTCGTCTGGAGAGATTCCATAGACAGTTGTCGTGAGTAACGTTTTACCTAATAAGCTAAATCGCAACACTATTTAAAGGCACATGTTCATTGTGACATTACAGTTATTGAGGTGCTTTCATTGTTTGTAGTCAAGAGAAATGATACTTTTTGTGTAAAGCAAAAGTAATTTACTAAACAAATTTTTGTAACAAACACCGAAGAAATATTATTTTGCATGATAAAATTAATTTTTCTGAATTATGCAATCAACATTGAAACATAATAGGGCGTATGACAACAATCATGCCTGTATTAATTGAGACTACTAGTATTTTATATATACCAACATTGTCACAAGCAAGAAATTACACAATTAAACCTTGTAATTCGAAGTATTGTACAAATTTGCTTGAACAAGTGTGTCTGTATTAGAGTGTCTGTATACTAATTCCAGGGTACATTAAATTATAAATATAATAATGCCAAAAATGTGTCATATATACTATTCAATATTACACAATTCACTTATATATGCCCATATACATGTAAGCATATATCTTGTGCTATACCTGATTTTTGAAGTGGTTTATACTTAATTTTCACTTTCTTCTAAAAAAAAATATGCTTTGAAAATGTGAATCAATTTTCAGTTTTTACTCAAAAAAATTGGCTATTTTTGTCTAAATCTTCTGAGGGAAAGTGCAGATTATAAACGGTTCTATTTTGTGAATTTGTGATGATAAAAGGGAACTGGTGGTTAAAAGGTTAAAAACATAAACAGAAAACATATTTACTGCCCAGTACCAAGTATATCGGCACATGATTTCTATAGGTTATTGATTTAGGATTTTCTATCATAACTTTCTATGATTGATGAGTGTTATCATTGTTATAGCTGTGAGCTGTTCTGGTGAGAAAGGCTATCAGGAGTGTGGATCATCATGCAAAACATCTTGTGCTGCTCTTGCTGGTAATCGACCTTGCGAAGAGAACTGTGTCCCTGGATGTAGTTGCCCCTACGGTATGGTTGAAGATTACGGTGGAAGCTGTATCAGCGAAGAAGACTGCCCGTGCTTATTTCATGGTAAATTCTATATAGCTGGTCAAGTCGTCGAACAAGGATGCAAACCATGGTGGGTTGTTAACTGAAGTACATTATATAGACAGTTCAACTGAATCCCATTTCAATGTACTATTGTTGGATTTCATAGGCAAAATGGGCATGATATTCTTGATTACGTTAGTTATTAATTTCAGGCTCAATCGCAGTTGGTGCTTGACATGTAACATGTGTTGCCAAGCGACTAAACATTTCAAATCTGATGTTTTCCTACAAAACTTGATGGCATTACTATTACATTACTATTACTTGCAAACTAGAATAAAAATATGGCAGTTATGACTTACACAGACAAGATATTATCATTCAGCACAAGTGCTGAAGTAGGGATGACATGTTCTTTAACAAATACTTTGAACTAACAAAAATTATTTTATTCATTTTTATATTTAAAGTACATGTGATCGTGGACATTGGTATTGTGAAGATATTGAATGTGCTCCTACAGAATGTGGCGATAATATGGAATTTGTTTCTTGTAAAACAGAATGTCCACAAACGTGCAGTAATATGCATTCGCCACCCAGCTGTGCGACAGCCCATTGTCAATCTGGTTGCCAATGTATGGAAAACTATGTATGGAATGGTGAGTTGTAATAAAATTGACTTCATCCTATGCCTTTTGAAAACACACAACTGTTTGACAACAATGCACTTGGGATAAAGTTAGGGATTTACTCATGATGAAATGTAGTAAAAACTTACATTGACATTTTATATAGTTTATAGTCTTGAAAATGAATGTGGGCCAAAAATTATCAAATTTAAATCTGCCAAATGTTATTTATTTTATACCATTTATAGTGCCAAGCAGTTGAACCTTAGATTTTTTTCTTTGTACTTGATTCAATGATTATTTTGTATTTACTTTGTAGGTGATGAGTGCATTTTACCAAAGGATTGTCCATGTCATCATGGTGGAAAAAGCTACCGCTCAAAGGAAACTATCAAAGTCGAGTGCAATCAATGGTAAAATATTGTCAATTATATACAATAATTAGGATTAAAAATTTTGTTGGAAAGCATCAGGGCAAACTCATTGGGCATCAAGGCAAACTCATTGGGCATCAAGGCAATCTCATTGGGCATCAAGGCAAACTCATTTTGCACCAAGGCAAACTCATTGGGCATCAGGGCAAACTCATTGGGCATCATGGCAAACTAATTGGGCATCAAGGCAAACTCATTGGGCATCAGGGCAAACTCATTGGGCATCAAGGCAAATCCATTGGGCATCAAGGCAAACTCATTGGGCATCAGGGCAAACTCATTGGGCACCAAGGCAATCTCACTGGGCATCAAGGCAAACTCATTGGGCATCAAGGAAAACTCATTGGGCACCAAGGCAAACTCACTGGGCATCAAGGCAATCTCACTGGGCATCAAGGCAAACTCACTGGGCATCAAGGGAAACTCATTTTGCACCAAGTTAAACTCATTGGGCATCAAGGCAAACTCATTGGGCATCAAGGCAAATTCATTGGGCATCAGGGCAAACTCATTGGGGACCAAGGCAAACTCATTGGGCACCAAGGCAAACTCATTGGGGACCAAGGCAAACTCATTGGGGACCAAGGCAAACTCCTTGGGCACCAAGGCAAACTCATTGGGCACCAAGGCAAACTCATTGGACATCAAGGCAAACTTATTGGGTATCACGGCAAACTCATTGGGCACCAAGGCAAACTCATTGGTCACCAAGGCAAACTCATTGGTCACCAAGGCAAACTCATTGGGCATCAAGGCAAACTCATTGGGCATCAAGGCAAACTCATTGGGCATCAAGGCAAACTCATTGGGCATCAAGGAAAACTCATTGGGCACCAAGGCAAACTCATTGGGCACCAAGGCAAACTCATTGGGCACCAAGGCAAACTCATTGGGCACCAAGGCAAACTCATTGGGCATCAAGGCAAACTCATTCGGCATCAAGGCAAACTCATTCGGCATCAAGACAAACTCATTCGGCATCTTGGCAAACTCATTCGGCATCTTGGCAAACTCGTAATGGGTGGTAGCCATGTATGTGTTCTATATGGGTCCCATGTGATGTGTACAATGCATATACCACCCTTTCAATAATATTTATTGTATGATTACAGTGTGTGTGATGGCAGTCATTGGGTGTGTGAAGACAAGATGTGTCCTGGTATTTGCACTGGATGGGGCGAATCACATCACAAGACATTTGACGGAAAGTTGTTTGATTACTTTGGCGAATGCACGTATATCATGTCACGAAGTACCCTCAACAATCCCCACATACAATACACCATAACGACGGAAAACGTCATCTGCGGATACGCTTCCAAAGTCACATGTGCCAAGTCTATTACATTCTCTGTTGGCACTGGAAGCCAAAGGGAGACGATCAAACTCGAACGGAACACTCCAGTTGAGGTACCTGTTGGATCAGTCTTCAAAGTGTGGCGTGCTGGGTTGTATATCTTCGTCAAATCTGCTGGAGGAGTGACACTACAATGGGACAGGGGAACTAGAGTCTATATTAAATTGGAAACGCAGCATAGGGGACTTGTAAGTTTCATTTTCTCTTTATTGTAAAAGTAATCTTCTTGTTTCCATCAAAGTTTGATCACTAGGATGTTGGTCTCAAAAAATGAACCAACAGCATCATTTACTGTTTTGTATACTATTATTTTTTTTTAAGAAGACAAACACTGAGTTATATATGCTTATTATATACAAGTGATGAGGAATAATGTGTTATGTTCCACAAATCACATGTCATAACCAGCACCTTTAATGTTTTTTTTGGGGGGGTTTAAAAAATAAATGGAAACATCACAGTAACAAATCAAAGTAACACATTTTAGTTTTTTCAGTTGTTTTTTATCATGGATTCTAAATTTCAAATTTATTTATTTTGATGTTCAATATTTCTGAAATTCGTGATTGCTTGAAAAGTACGTAGTACATGACAAGATGGCTGCCTTGTCTGACTCAAGTGATAGTTATTAGTCCCTGTTCGGATGCAGTCCGAAAACAGGGACTTATGTTTTGACCTGTGTGCGTTCCTGCGTCTGTGCGTGCGTCCAGACCTGTATCTTAGAAATGCCTGTACCAATCACAATCAAACTTCACAAATACATCATACGTGATATTATACATATGCACTTCAATTTGTTTCACGATCTGATTCAAGATGGCCGAATGGCAGCCATTTCTGTTCTAAAAATTATTAATATCAAGCATTTTTCGGCTGTTTACTGATGGATTTTGTTCAAACTTGGTATACAGTACAGTTCTCGCGGAAGC